TATTTTGTCTCAGAGCGAAGGAAAGTCCCAGTAGATTTGATCGGTCCCCTTCAATCAGAACACCACACACTGGTATGCGATTGACTAAGGATGTGGAAAAGGGGGTCAGAACAAATGAATTAACTCTGATGTGTATTTCTGGCATAAAACGCAAGGGTAAAAGGGAGCACCTCACTGGTTAATTTGCTAGGTGTCCTGAATCCCGAATTCAAGCGCTTTGGGGACCCAGAATGAGGCCGACGACGATATTTTGGGGTCTTGCCATCTGCCTCTCCTCCCACTTGGTAGAAAGAAAAGCTTATTTTAAAAACAACCATGTAACAGCATAGGAATGCCTTCGCTTCTAACTCACCCTCGTTTGTTAGGTCATTCAGATGACCAACATAGGCCTCAAATTGAGTTCTACAGAGAGTGAGGTCCTTTGAATTATCCATGGAGTCGATAAAGATGTAGTGAGTGTGGTTCTCCGCCAGCTGGATTCTGTTGTCGTTTCCTGGTGGTTTCTTAGAAAAGCCCACCTGCCTTACACCCTAATAGGAGCGAAAAGACCTCCCTTAGGTCAAATAACATAAGTTTAACTTGTCAGGGAATCAGCAAAGGAGAAATTTTGAGGATTTCAAGCCCTATGAATGGATGGATGGATTGATAAAAGGAAAGGAGGTGGCTGTCCTACCAAATAATCATTGCACCGAAGGAGATGAGAGTTGTATAGACGACGCCAAGGCACCAATCCAATAACCTGAAGCTGTTGCATTCCATACGCTTCCGCATAGCCTCTCACAGCCTTTGAAATCACATCTCCCACACCCTTCTCCTTTCCATCCGTCAGAATCCACGTCTCTAGTGGTAGCATTTAGAAGCAATTTAACCCAATGCGATATGATGCCTCATATTTAGCAACACTCAGAAATTGCCACCTATAAAATTCTAATGAGTTGACATTATTGACATTCTCTCCAAACTCTTCAGCCACTCAGTAATCATTGCTCTGCTGTGTTGTCAAACAAAACCGTTACTTTATTTACCGACAGCGTGCATCCAAATGTGTTTATTCGTTCTAAGTGTGCCATGGAAAAATAGAAGCTCCAGACTGACTCGTCTGCCTGGTAACTCGTGTCAGAGTCTTTTGTAGCAGTTTTTGAAGGGATGGAGATAGAGGATCCGAACCGTAGAAAGTGAGCACCAAACCGGGATTGGGCATTTGCCACAGATAGAAGAGAAGGATTTGCAGTTTTTCTGTCGATGTGTTATCCGTTAATCGCATAAACTGTAATAAAAAGAATTGAGTTATTCCTTATTTCTCCCTCTAACTATATCGTTTGAAGCTCGTTTCATGCAGGCGCAATGCGAGTCTTTGAAAACTCTCACTATTTGTCTTCAATGCTTTCAAGAGACCTTAATCGTTCTCCTACACTGATAACATTGCTGTGAGAAACAGCGAACTTAATAGAAGGGATGCTCTGGTACACCTAACTCCACAAAACCCACCACAATGGATTCCGTCTCAAACTTTTAGTTCCGTCACAGTAATGGAGCGATTTCTACGTTAAATAAGTCAAAATCATCCACAAAGGCACAATGTCATTGCATCTCCTTTGTTTTGTTTCCTCCACACACCCTGTTGTGGTGGCCAAAGGAGGAACGAAACCACGACAGCCACGGAAGACGACGTGACAAATGGGTCGGAAAGCATCACCTGAGAAGGTCACTAGCTCGGCCTACAAACATGAGCACCAGAGCATTTCCCTCACTATTCGATAATGCTCCAAGCCTTTCCAATGGATCCTTCTCATTCGACAGCTTCGTGACATCTTTATCATCCGTGCAGATGCTTCGCTCCGGGTATATATTGCGGCAAGCTGATGCGCACTTCACCCAAATCTCCTTCGTTCCCTACCTCGACATGTAAGGACAGGTCAGCTGAGACGCATTGAAAATCAGGAAAGGCGAAAGTAATTTCTCCTGTGCATCGAGTGACTCACTTGACTGACAATAGGTGAGAAAGCCTTTTCAAATTGCCCGAAAGTGTTGGTCGGTCGTCTAACGAAACCGGATTCACGAGAGGCTATCACCTTCATGAATTCCGCATTTACTGAAAGTTTCTCATGGTTATAGCCTCTGGTATTGCAGCATTCGCAAATGCTGTCCCTGTGCACACGGATAAAGGAAGGGAGGTTTTTATGGGTCTAAAATATTTCCTTTGATTCGTTGCCAAATCACTGCAACATTTTGACTTACTGTCGCATTGGGAGGATGGTGCAGACGTAGGAGTCGAGAATTAACGGTGCCTCAATGAGACGCCTTAGATTAACGGCCTGGAAGCAGATTTGTAAAAATAAAGTCATTGACGCGAACATACTGATCAAGGCGAACAAGAAGAGGAATCACACCTTTTTATCGCCACTGTTCAATTTCTGAGCATCTCTTTCACCCGCGTTGTAGAGTTCAGTGTGAAATTCCAGGAAGTGATGCATGGACCCTCTCTGTTCATGCTGAATGAACTGCAGTGGTGTGAGGTCATCCTAGGTTAGGAGTATGTGAGATGAATGCAGAGCGGATGAAGGTATGATTGGAAGAAATATGTTTGAATGAAGGGGTTCAGCCCACTGGCTAGCAGAGATATGCAGAGATGGAAAAGAGGGAAGGTGGATGGGATGGACCCGTCATGACTGCCAGATGTATTGAACATGCCAATACGGGTTGTTTCATGTGTGAACCAGCGATGAAGGTGTAGGTCCCTCCAGAACTGAGTAATGACTGAGTAATGCTGATAACCCAAGGCAGGTGGTTCAACAAGGACATGCAGATGAATCGTAGTTGTGTGTGTAGAAAAGGATGAATGAATGGGTGGATGTGAGTGGATCAACCCTGACCTGAAAATCATGTGCATTCATGCAAAATTAGCCGTGCTAAGATAAACAAATTGATGGGAGGGGGTACAAAGGAGAGAATGATGAATTGGCAGAATGGCTAAAGCTGATGGGTGGGTTAAACAAAAATGAATGTCGATGAATGGTTGAATGAACGGGTAAATGATGCCATTATTTTGCGGTTGATAGATCTAAATAGATGGGTGAATGGATGGATTAATGGATAGATAAGGGATGGAAGGATGGATGGACGGATGGATACGGGATGGACTATTGGTCGATTGGATATCTGAGTGACTGGATAGGCAGATGGATAGATGAAAGGGTAAGGAATGAGTAGATGGATCACATATCAGAAGAACGGCCCATGATGTATGAAAATGTCGCTCGGAACTATGTGCAAACAAATTATTCTCAAGGGAAAATACATAAATGAATGCATCAACAGGTTGCAACTAAACCCACAATGTCGGTGCATTTGAGAAGGCCTTTGCTGTGTGTCAGGAGGATGATCACCGTTTCAATATTCGTCTGTGCAGCGTAGTGTAGAGCGGTCCGCTTCGACTAAAAGGTAAGTATCAATGGTATGTGTTCCTCATGTCTATTCTTTGACAAATTGCACACATGGATGCTAAAAGACGCTGCTTTTACTGCCTAATAAGTAATAAGCCCCCATTTTAAGATCAATTAAACGTGATGAGAAAATATTCGTCAAGATGGTCTATTAAACATAGGAGTTTTCCTACCTTATCCACGTTGCTGATGGGTGCATCCTTGCATTGCAGCAGCATACGCAGTGCCAAATAGTCTCCAACAGCAGCTGCGACATGGATCACGTTGATTCCCTCCTAATGAAAGGCAAATACAACATCGTAACTATCTGGTGTTCTTTTGAAATGTATGTTTAACCACGAAAATGCTGCATCATGGCATTCAAGCCTTACTAAGAGTCCTTCAACTCTTCCTCATATTAGTAATGGATGTCCTATTCTATTACCTTGACTTGTTACCATTTCGGTGGGAAGACGGAAGATGCTACAGGCGTTCCCTATCCCTCTCCACTTCATCGCTCTTTATTTTGCTCTGGCAGATAGCTTATTTTCGAGAAGAGGATAATTTACCCTTTTCGAAACAAGTGCGTCTGTGTCAAGACCAGATGTGCAAAAATACTCCTCCACACAGATCTATTATTTCGTCACGTGAAAGCTATTTCGTATTTGGCTTTTAAGCAACTGCAAATTCACCTGTGTTACACTCCAAATTTTGGTGGGTGGAAAGTCGTCCAAAATGCATTGAAGTATACGATGTGCCGAGAGCAGAGCGACTAGGTGAACGATGCTGGCACTTTGAAGGATATCTGGGAATTTGCTGGCTCGATAGGAGGCTAGGCACTGAAAAAGTCATTTCACATTATTATCATCATCCTTTTTGCACTTCGGTTTTTTTTTGGCATTTGAAATAAATGATCCCTTATTCATTGTCGTCGAAAACAAATCACTGATTTACAATTAACAAATGAGAGGAAATCTTAAAGTTCACATCTTTTCTATTTTTGGATCAACAAATTCCCTCGCTGAAAGTAGCGCCTTTTGAAAATTAGCTCAAATGACGCCTTACTACCAATGTGTCAGATTTCCCTCATTTTAGGAAAGTTGACGTCACTCTGGGGGGCACACGAGGGAATGGATGACAACCTTGAATGATGCAAAACCCCTACCACTATGGCAGACAATCATTCCATGATTGTCAGTCCTGCCGCTGAAGTGCACGACACAAAAGTGACGCCGTTTAAAACAGGAAATGGCTTATTATTCTTGACATTTTGCCAATATTTAAAGTCTTCAAAATGAGTTTAGGTGCTAACATATGGGCACTTCATTGGATAACTCACCTGTAGATAATTGACAATGATACTTTTTTCAAAAAATCTCGAGATCTCAAAACACGACCTCACAAATACCTCCGCATTGTCCTCCAGCACGCATTGGATAATGTTTCTCTCCCACTGATCCAATCCTGGCACGAAAGCCCGAAAGGAGGCCGTACTAAAGACACTCTCTTGCAATCTGTGGGTCTGTGGGCATCTGAAAGAGCTACCTAGTGTCGACATGTGCCCAGAAATGCGCTTTCTTTCAATCGTGTGTATTTATATGATCACCTGTGCACTGTAGAGAGGAGCAAGAGAAAGAAAAGGCAGTAGCCTGCATCTTTTGCTGAGGACACCTATTTATTTCTCACCCTTCCTATTGTTTGAGCAAGTGTGCGTTGAATACAGGTGCTAAGCAAATCGCATGTATTATTTTTTGCTGATTGAGCATCACCGATTCCTAGTAAGAAGAGGTCGCATGTGTGAAGCAAATTAGCTTGGAGAAGGGAAAATCTTTTATTCAGGTGTGGCGATCTAGAGATCGAGATGTGTATCAAATAGAAAGCCTCTTATAGCTAAACATCTGCCACCCTAATTAAACTTGCGATGTAATAGAAGCTTGTGATTGCAGTGTGTTTGCTAAGGTAGAAAACAACAGCGTTTTGAAGGGAGTAATTTTCGTTTGAAGCATTGGAAAGGGAACACGCAACGGTAAATGACCACCAGTGCAGGCATCACTTCCAAGTGGTAACGAAGCCTACTTCTTGGGCTCCTGTGTTTCTGTCCCTCGGCAATGTGCTCACATGCAGAAAAGTGGACAAGTTTTGAAAAGGGACTTCCAATGCATTTTGTGGGTTAGCAATTTAATGTGGCCCACTTTCAACTAAAAGTAACCCATTTTGGAAATTCCACTGTGACGACACCTCGTTTAAGCGCCCTAATATCTGACCGATTCATTCCTCAACGGTGAAGTGGGAAGTCGCTGATTGCGCCTCTAGCAATGAAGTTAACGGTTCCACCGATTAATTTGATTGTGTGTCAGAAAAAGTGGCAAAAATCTATCTTGCTGTAATATGAAATTTTGCGCGTCGTTGATTTGAGCTAATTTCGATGATTCCAACGATTGCTTAAATAGGGAAATTGGTTAAAGGTTGAAAGAATCAGCTTTGATTGATTGGAGAAGCTATGCAGCAATTCGACAGACTGTCCGACTGTGTATTAGAATACGCATACACTTCGGTTCCTACAG